GTGAAACGGTCCAGGCTAAACGGTTAAGGCAGCTGGGTGGAGCCACTCACAGAATAAGGGTTTGGGCCGACTTCAGCGCAGCAAAGTCCACTGTTGCGAAAGAAGTGGCAGTAGCGGTGGAATGGGGCAGCGCGCCGCGTTAGACCCGAGATTGCATGTAAAGAGTGATTGGGGGTTGGAAATGGCGGGTCGTTCTGTTTAGACCGTGTTGTCGTCCTAATTTTCAACCATGATTGAATAACGACTACCCCGCTCATCTCTGCGCAGATGTCAAATCACTGCTCGGTTCATGAACGGGTCAACAGTCTTGGAGTGTAACGAAGTTTGTCTCTAGAAACCCGGTCGGAGTGGAGGTTTGGCTTGACGTCGGTGGGTTGGGTAGAGCGATTTGGGGTAGTTTGGAGGGATGGAAGTAAGGTGTGGCATGGTCAGGTTGAAAATACGGCCCCGGTCGGTGTGCTGGGGGGCAGGTTGGTTGGTTCTGGGCAAGGGTTTGGGCCGATTGAGCAACGTGTGGGCCGGTTCGGGTGGGTGGAGAAGGGTTTGGCCGAATGGCTGAGTAGTGACAGATTTGGGCTGGGTTGGGCAGTTGTTCCGGTTAGGCCGATGGCCCGGCTTCGCGAGGTTGGCCCGCGGGCGGGCGCGGGCGGGAGGGCGGGAGGGCGGAGCGGGCGAGGGCGGGAGGGCGATGGGACGGGCCGTGTTTGGTGCCCGGCAGTTTGCAATCGAGAGGGCTGCTGGAGGGCGTCGAAAGGGCCGGTGCTCGGCCCGAGCCAATGGAGCGCGGGGTTGAGGCGCCTATCGATTCCGGGGAGCATAGTTGGAGTGAAGGGCTGAAGCAATTCTTTTGAATTTCCAAATGACGGTGACACGATCGCGGAATATTTGTTATCGCTTGAAACTGTGGCGATATGTGCCCATCCAACTGAGAGAATTTTGTTGTGATAATTATTATGGTATTTTTGTGCAATGTAAAAAGATAAGTTAACAGCGTTAACGTGAACATTATTATTTTGAACTTTTTATATCGTACCATACATTTTGTGAATACAGTGTGATATTCTCTTTAGAACATTACTATTTGTTTCTAATTAGAATAAATTTGTTTTACAAAAAACATACAATTGATCGAACTGGTTAACATTATATTTTAATCTCTAAATAAAATCCTTTGAAATTAAAGGAGTACTTTTTATTTCAAATAATTACAGTGCACTTTGATTCTCAAAATCGTTGTACAAATTTATTTATTTTAATTGAGAAAAGGAAAGAAAATTAAAATTTTTACTATAAATATATACATATTTATTCAGTAGCATCTAACGTAAAATGAGTAACGTTTAGATAATAGAAGATTCAATTTATTTATGCACTGTTCGTGAAATAATATGCGAGAGTGGATGTTCTCTCTTCTAAAGCAGCAAAATGTAAATGTAAAATGCATCAAACATGTAGAGGGAGTGTAGTGGATCATCACCGACAAGTGATAATACGAGAGGATTTGAGAACTTTCATTGATTCTGATTGACAGGATGCCACTTAACGAGATGAATTTGCTGTCGAGGTACAGAAAAAGTCCATCTAGTTCATCATGACGCCACCAGGTCGGTGCCATTTACAGCGTACAATGCATCCATATGTGGCCATGAATCACGTGGTAAGCGGCAATTTTAATGGCCGAGCCGGTAAAACTTGGATAGACGAAAACGAAAAATCTGACACAATGAACCCTATCATTGCATGTAGACATTACGTCCGGAAGGAAGCATGCTCAATGAAGAAAGTACTGGATCAGCTATATTTATAAATTAAATACCAGCCTTGAAACTTTTCCGTTTTCATGGAATTTTCTGTTGCTTATCACAAAATTAGTTTGTAGAACACATATAATATTTCAAACATTACGAAAGGTTTGAAATGCAGTCAATATAGGTGTTTTCTAAACCGGGAATAGTTTTCATCGCACCAGCATGGACCATTGTAGGAGGGAGTGTTGTTGAGCAAATAACAAAAGTCTCTCTTATTGATATTTTTACAAGCTATATGAATTATTATATGAAGTGATCCAGTCATCAGGCCTCAAAACCCACTCGTGACATCTACCTGTGTAGGTAGTACAATTGTCAAACAAATATTTAGATTATAAGATAATAGATAAATATTAAGATACGATGTATAACAGTTTTTTGGTCTCGTATGTCTAGGCAGGTCCCCTGGTCGAGAGACCAGTGGTCTATAGAAAAAAGGAATATATTTTATTTTTTTATGTATTTATTAGTTGCAGCGCGACCAGATTCAAATGTCATAAAGTTCAAGTATCACTATTAACTTTTCACCATGGAATTTAGTTTTACCATCACTCTCACATTAATTTAAAACTTACTTTGCGGTACTTACGTTGTGGTAAGGGAAAATAAACTTTCCCATACTAGTTTCGGAAAGAAGACTAAGCCATCTTAAAGAAGTGCGTTCGTCAAAATCAACAAAGCACTGGGGCTACACCAATGAACATGGCTGCCTGCGTGCTTAGGGCCAATGACCCCAAGAGATTATGTACTAATAGATTTCCATGAATTTGGACTACTAAAAATAATGTAAACAAATCGTAAGAAAGTGCCTTTGGAGTATGCATGCACCTCCCGGCCTACGACCGTTGGTTTAAGGGATACGTGTGGTGAGCACATAGACATATACATTCCCACGCTGTATTCTGGTCTTCACAACTTGAGAAGCGAGCTTTCTCAGCGGCACACAGCAACAGATGCAGGGACATGGCGAGGAAAGCGCACACTAATCTGCCTCGATCGGGAGTCAAACGCGGGGTGGCGTTAGGAAGAGCGCGCGCTGGCCAGGGATGCGCTCTTGGCGCGCTCACTTCAAACTGCGAAACTCGACTTCCTTGAGCGTCATCTCTCCCGTCGAAATGTCTTTCATTCGCCAAAAACAGTTTCGTAAGTAACTAATTCCGTTCTATACTATAGTTCAGTCTTAGTCATACTATAGTTCAGTGTCTTTATCGATGGCTTGAAATATGTGTCACGCATATTTCATTTAGATTTGAAAATTTTGAACTCTAACTTGTCCGACATGCCAGAAGTAAAATTTAGTTTATTGTTCCGGAGGATAGTTAAGAAATTTTAATTATAGGGGGTACATCACATGAAGGGCTTGTAATATTTTCAAAATATTCTGAAAAATGGCTTGCAACTATTTATTTTAATTTTGCCTTCGAATATTGAAAAGTGTATTTGTAAATATGATATGGTACCTATTTTCATTAACACATCAACGTTCGAAAAGCCTAGATGTTCAAATATTTTCATCTAAAGCCGTTGATTTACTTTTCAGTGGAATTTTCCTTCAATTTCAGATCTTTAAATGACAGAATGTGCATTTTTTAAAACTTCCTACAAATATGCAACTACTCAGTTTTGTGTGTGGCCATCCTTACCTGTTCACGCGGGAGAAAGCGGAAAGGCAAAACATGTAGACTACCTTCACGTAGAATGAATAATTTTTACCGTCATAACGTTTAGTATTCATTATAGTATGCAAATTTAATAACAACTAGCGTACCCGTGCGAGAACTCTTGAAAGTTAAATTCTACTTCGTCTTTATCTTCCTTTTACATATAAGAAGAGCAAGTTGGAACGAACGTATTTGTTTAAAAAATTAAAAAAGTAACTTCAATGTACTGTATAGAGTATATGTTACATAAAGAGGATGGGATATAGGATGGGAGTATAGATGATGATCACTGAAATTGACGGTTGATACATTTTGAAAACAGGTTTATTCAGTGTTATAGACTTTTTCTTGAAACAATTCACAATGCTTCTTAAAAACAGGAGTTGAATTAATTATACAATCTTCCTTGGCAGCTTTTCGCTTTCCTTGATAGTCACAAAAATATTACAAACAGTTTTTACTCTCGAGAAAGCTACTTAATGTTGTCCATGTTGTTCCAAGTTTTAATGCCCTAAAAAACTTCGTTTAGGAGCTATTAAACGATATAGATTCAAAATTCCTAAGAAGTGTTGCGGGTTTTTTGACATTCATATTTATATCCTTTTTTAAACAAATCCTTCTTATTTTTAGCCAAAGTTCAATTAGTCACGCGTGCATGAAATTCTCTTTTTAGAGTCCTTATTTATCAAGATTGCTTGCGTGTGAGAGCCACAAAATATATGTAAACTACTGAAATGATATAGAAGACGATAAGAGGAAAAGAGTGTCTATAAGTGCACATTTCCAAAAGTTATTCTCGGAATTCATTTAATTTCTCCGTCTGTCATTAAGTGAAAGTACGTCAAAATGTAATTATTGTCTTATTCTCTTCTTAAGAAATGAATCTGAGTTGATGATTCCAAGGATTATCATTACACGATTAACGATTATTGATAAAGCATTGTCGATGTAAATGAGATTTTCCTTGCATAACAGAATACATATTGTAGTAAGCAATTGTTCTGAAAAGCAATACATGAAGAAAGAAAACAAGTGTACACATGAGTACCCTTTTTCCTTACTCAAATCTTTTACATCGCGAATGCGGGTGACGAGCTGAGGAAGTCATTCTTAAAATAGAATGATGGAATGATAAGAAAACAATTGAAAAATATTTTTGGAAGACATGAAACTTCAATTATCCTCATTTTCGACTTATTACTTGCATATGTACGGAATGTTTATGTAAGAGTGACATGTTCCAAGTATTAATGCAGTAATGTAGAACGTGTGAAAGTTTGGTAAATGGAAGAAGAATGGTTTATTTTTTTGTGGACACGTACAATGTTTAAATTTCAACGACTATTTACAGGTTAGCACAGACTACTGTCTTTTTTTCAATGCGAATAGTCTAGTACTTATATAAATACGAATAGGTAATAGCATTACGTTACCTACTCGCATTAAATCAAATGTTTATTACTGTGGGGACATACAAGTATAACTCATCAAACGACGGATGGAGCATTGGCAGTTTTATCAGTCCAAATCGTAATGGACGTACTCAGATTTGCTCCGCCGGGTTACATGTAGCTCTCCATAGGATGCCCTCACACACTGTTCCCTCGCCACACACAAATCAAACGCGCTTATCAACCATTCTGAAGATGAGAAGCTCCTGCTCGTTTGCAAAGAACGGCCACCAATCAAACTTCCACGACGTGCCGAGGAACGGGGCCCCGGGCTGTCCCTTGCGATGACGGGCTGTGTCGGCCCTGCGAGGTGAGCACCAGCCCTGCAAAAGCCATCGCCACCATGTCCGTGACAATTGTTACACTCAACGACGCTGCCTCCATCGCCCATGCTCACAACTACTGCCGCTACCTTCTTGGTGCCACATCCTTCACTGCCACCTTCATCGCTTCTCTCGCCTTCGCGTGACAACACCATCTTCAATGGCATTTTCGTTACAACTTCCAGGGCAATCTTGAACCGCCACAGTAGCTGCCAATGGCAATACCGCTGCCACTGCCACTCTTTCTCTCCCAAACGAAAGCAATGCGTTCACATCGCCATCGCCTCCGTGTCCGTCGCATGGAGCCTCCATCGCTGCTGCCCCTGCTTCCACGCTCATCACCTCCAGACCGCCTGCCGCCTCCGCCGCCTCCGCCTCCTCCGCCGCCTCCGCCGCCGAGCGCCGCCCCCTTGATGGCGGGCTAGAAGCACGCGGGCGGCGGCTTGCGGCGGTATGCGTGGTGCGGTGGCAGCGGACGACGGGGATGAGAACGGATGCGCGGGCGGCGGTGCGGCGCCTTGGCGGGACAGAGGAGGAGGAAGGGGCGGCGGCGGGCGGCAGTGTAGGGTGTGGAGCGACGGAGAGGTGGGGACGTCGGGGTGACGAGGGCGCGTGGAGAGGTGCGGCCACTACCGCGTGGGCGCAAGCGAGCGGTAGGTCGACGCGGGCGGAGGGCTGGCTGGAAGTGGGGGAGGGGGGGCGGGGGCGGATGGCCACCAGCGCACAGGGCTCGCGCATCGCTTGTCCCTCCCCCGTTGCCGTGTAGTTCGCGCTACGCTCCGCCCCGCCACGCTCCGCCCACGCTCGAATCTGCAACGCTATCCACATCCGCGCGGGGTGACTCGCGTTGGGGCAAATACTGTTGATGCGTTCATTGAAAAGTCTGACATAGGAAGGTCATCACTTATGCGCCCGCTTGAATTTTAGTGCGAAATACTTGTCTGTTGTTACAAATGAGACACGCATGAGTAAATGTTAGAGACTGTTATAACATTATTCTCCATAAAAAGAAAATATTAATGACAATCAATGGTGTGCAAAAGCCATGATTGCTATATACTTCCACAAGTGAAAATCATGTAGAACGTATTGAATTTTAGCGACGTGTTGTTTAAACAGCTTAATTTGTAAAATCAAACTCAATTCATCGGTGTCTCACATATGAAAATGAATCAGTCTGTGCAGAGTATGTAATGAAATGAAGAATCTCTCGTAGTTTTGCACGCCCGCCCGCAAAGCATCACATTCATTTGTTCCATCCTGTTGGATATTAAGTCAAAAACTAGTGGTGCTACAGAATGGCACATTTTTCTCGTGGTAGTTAGTTTCCTAGATTCTTTCTTTTGGGCTAGCTTTTCGGTCTTCCAGATGCCCTTGCCAGATGCTGTCTTTCCCCGCCCAAACTATACTTTTTCCACATTTTTCAACCTTTAGGTTTCCTAATGGCGGAGCCAAAATATTAATTATGAATATTATAGGTTAGAACCTTGACCTACACGTTCAAAAATTTGTAGCCGTGTTTAACAAAATTTTGTTTAAATGTTAGAGTAAATGCAAAATTTGAAGCTGTATTTCTCAAAAACATTTTACGTTTTCAAGCAACTTTATTGGAAATTATTTGAAGTACTTTTACTCAAAAATGCAATAATGTTTACAAATCGCTGGAAATGTGCATTTTAACATCGAGAAAGGTATTTAGAAGAAAATACGAGCGCCTAATCTTTAATAAGGCAACAATATACAGCAAAATACAGTGCATATAGCTACATACGTTTAAACGTTAGCAGAAACAATTTGGCACAGTTTTTGAGAAAATAGAGTTTGAGCGTTTTTTGAAATTGGGAAATTTGAGATTGATTTTCTCAGAAAACATTTGAATTTCCAAAAACATTATGCCAACATTTCAAGCACATGTACACATGAATGCAGAAATGAATACAAATCTCTGCTAATGCAAAACAATTTTATTTCAACAACTTCAATAGCAACAAAGTTTTTTAATTGAGGGCCTCTCTTCTTTTCCTCTGAAAATTTCCAAATGGAAAATTTAAATAATAAATAAATAAGTGTACTTTGAAGCGATTATCCGTTAACGTAAAATATTCTTTATACACACACTTGGGAGAAGGTACCTCTTATCCGTTACCAAGGATAGGCTAGAAGAATTTAAAATTTAAAAATTTAATTATTACAATAAGCAATATTAAATATATTGTTTCAAACAGAATTACTGATCAGGTATCACAAAAATGACAGGCGTGGTGCCCCATCGGCGTCTCTTTAAATGGTTGTAGAGCATTGTCGCAAGTGCTTTATAAGTGCTCAAACTGGAGGGAATAGTACAATAAACACTGAAGTTGGGAAACACATCAGTTGATTTCCTAGAAAAGGTCGTCATGTATACATTTTTTTAAATAGTGTAGTTACGTAAAAATATAAAAAATACACAGAAAATAAAATAGCAGGTGAGGAAGAGAGAATCGCTTGTTGTTCTTGTAATTGAGGATCAAATCCTTCGTTTCCTCGAAGTAATATTACTACGAGGAAACAAAATAAATTCGCCCACATTTAGAATATCAACAAGCGCTCTTTTTATTACCAAGACGAGGGATCCCAACTTTCTAAATACATCTCCAATTTATACAAGATCAAGAAGTATATTCAATTCTGAGAAAATATGATGAAAACATTTTGAAGAGTTTGTGCTTTTCTTTCATATCCTATAAAACCGTTCCATAGTATTCTTTTGTGTCATAAAAAACAAATAATTTCCTTACCTTAATATCTTTTTTATATTTCGTGGAAAAACATACAATTTAATTTCTCGTTTAGCGTGGATATTTCTATTCCTGGAAGTTAACTCGTAAAATTTCTTAGAAGTGAAGCAGTATCTAAGAAACAGAAATGTGTAGTTTCAAGGAGTAGAAAGTATTAAGTGATTTTGAAATTGCTCTTCCCAATGCAAAGGCTGGAAAGAAAACTATACTTTATGGGTTGTCCAAAGAAAATTAGTTTTTTTATTTTAAAGTAGGCATAAGAGTACATTTGTCGAGCTGGAATCGTAACTCGTTTGTGTGCAAAATGTAATTAGTATTATGGGTAAGACACAGTTCTATAAACGTGGTTTCTTGGAACACAGCTTTCCCGCTACCTCAGCCGAACGAGCATGGACGAAAACGTATGCGCAAACGAGCAGAGAGGAAGCTGAGTGGTAAATGAAAGGGACAGTAATTAGCGAAAGAAACAGAAAGAAGAGATCAGCGTAAATCGATGCTAAAATTTGGGTACCAACGTTTGAAATGCGGAAAATTACCTTATTATCAGGTATTGTAGTGCTCGGTTCGGAAGAGAAAAAATAAGAAAAAGAGAGAGAGAAAGAGAGAGACAGAAAGAGAGAGAAAGAGAGAGAGAAAGAGAGAGAGAGAAAGAGAGAGAAAGAGAGAGAAAAAGTGAGAGAGAAAGAGAGAGAAAAAATGAGAGAGAAAGAGAGAGAGAGAAAAAGTGAGAGAGAAAGAGAAAAAGTGAGTGAGAAAGAGAGAAAAGTGAGAGAGAAAGAGAGAGATAAAAAGGGAGAGAGAAAGAGAGAGCAACGCGGAGGCATTGTGTGCGAGTGCGAGTAGGATTCGCGAAACGAGTTCAACGTTAGCGACAAGAGCGGCAAAAGAAATTTGGTAGAGTTGAAATGGACAAGAGAAATAGGTGACGTGGTATTGATATGGATGTCATGAGTGGGAATTATGATATAAATAAAAAGAATAGGTGAGACCAAAGGGGATGGTTTTAAGCGATGCTGTTTTCGGCGAGATCACATGAGGGGGGCAGAACACAAGACAACACTGTAAACGTGGGAGATGTGAACGTCGGAATCGACATAAACGTAATTTTAAGCAAAGAGAGTGTGAAAAAAAGAGAAATAAGCGTGGACAACGTGAATGTAGATATGATGAGAAGTCTATGAGAAAGTGGGTACCTTGAGCGGAATGTTTTAAACAGGGAAACACTGGGCCTGGGATGTATGCGCTTGGATGGTCAGCAGAGAGAAATTTAATAGGGAGCTACATGTGTATATCCGACGAATAAATGAAGTGCTTAGATTGATGAATTTATTGTTAAACCTTCGGAAACGTCAACCACTGTGGTCAGTAATCCTATATATGAAGTGTATATTGCGTCCTTAGAGGTGGTAATTTTCCTTCCTCATTTGAACGTGAGATTCGGCGCAGACCTACATCGTCGTCTTGGGGGAGTTTTCCTCTTAGGTATTTCTCGCGGTGGGAAAGTACCCCCAGCTGATACAAACTTTAATCTGCAGAATGGTCATCTCACATGAGAGGCAGCGTGGTGCATGCGCGTTTGTGTAAGTCAGGAGACAAGATGCGAGAAAGATAAGTGAGGAAACATTGCGCACGTTGCTCGTTTGCTCAAGTTCTGGTCCGACATTTGTGCGGTATTGATCGGCGAAAGCCCAGAAAACTACGAAGCAGAGCCTCCGGTGGGCAGAATTCTCCTCCAGATCGCGGTTGAATTCGACGTAGCTCTGATGCTGATATTGAAACTCCGCCGCCGGGATTCGAACCCTAAAACCTCCTGGTCATCATTGCTGCAGAGGCTATGGCTCAGGCAGGTCGGTTTGAGTAAGGCCAGGTAGGGGCGTGGGCGGAGAAAGGGTGGGCAACAGGTCAGCGCGTGAACGGGCAAGTTCCCAGCGGGAGAGGGCGGTGCACGCCCGTGGCAGGGGGCGAGGGGCGGAGGACGGGGCGCCTGCCGTGAACGCTGCAAGCTCAAGATGGTGAGTTGACTGCGGCAGCGACGTGGCGAGGTAGAGGAAGGCGTGGAATGGGGTGAGGGTGGCGAGGGAGGCGAGGGCGGGGATGAGCGTCGAGGAGGGCTGGAAGGCGAAGGGAGGAGAGGGCAGTGGCCCCGGCAGCGGTGGTGAGAACGGCGAGGGCGAGGGCTGCGATGAGGGCGGGCGTAGTGAGGGTGCCGAGGGCTGCGGTGGCGAGGGCGAGAGAGAGCGGCGTCTGCGGTAGAAGCGGCGCTGCTGCTGCGGGGCCCAGGAAGGCTGCGATTAACACAATTACCGGAGCGGTTCCGCAGGCGGCGGCGGGGCGGGGCGGGGGCGGCCAAATCTCCTGAAGGCGCTCGCGGGCGAAGC